CGATGATGAAAAATTTTGAATTAATTGCAGGAGATTCTCTCTAATTCGACGACTCTCCAATTCGCAAAAATTCCCCTCCGAGCCTGCCCTCCCTCGAAGAACATTCCGCCACTCGTGGAATGTTATACATCCTTGTCCATGACGCCATGCGCTCAGAATTGCGCAAACGAGATAAATTGAGTGGCCCATCTACGTGTTGCCGACAACCATAACATCTAAAAACGGAAAAATGTCGACACCCGGCAAAAAACGTAAACATGTCTCTACTCAAATCGATTTCAAATATGCAACAAAAATGTGATTCATCATAATATTTGTTTAAAAATTTAAATCAATGAGTCATAGGTGTCCAGTATTTTTTAAGTTTAAATAAAGTTGAGTGTTCGGTCACCGACGATTCTCGTAATATCTTATTATCCATTTATATATTCAAGATTTTCAAATTCATTTATAATTATAGTAGATTATTCATTTTAATTCTATCCGAGAATCGTACGTTTTCGAATACTTGTCAGAATTTTTTACTCGGGAAAAACTCAGCAGATGTTTTCCTTTATTACTCTGAACCTTCGAAACTGACTAATTTTTATTTCCTTCTGAAGGCATTCATTCATTTTTCTTTTCTTCATCGTGAAATCCCGAGGATTATTTCAATGTTAATGTCACTGGAAACGTGAAATCCCCAGGATTAAGCAAAATCATTTCTTCATTTTACTTTCGAAATACACAACTCAATAATAGTTTTGTTACACTCAGTTTGATTTTCATCGTTTATTGTGGTCTTTTATGACGGTCAGTGATTGTTCCACGAGCGTCGTGCGGACCCCTACGGCTCAAGCAAGACCGCAACTATCATCTCTTTTTCCTTCGTCACCACTTATTACCTCCCACTCCATTCCTCAATTTGTCCACGATGCCGAACCAATCAAATCCTTGAATTTTCTCCCACTCGTTCATCCACCAATGTGCATCCGCCCCAATTCGTTCGGCAATACATACACCAAATTGTGTATAAGTTCATGTTTTGTCAAAATAAAATTAGTCTCTAAGTTACTTGTAACGAGGAAATAGTGCATGTTTCGAATCGAACACTCACTTCAGTTTTATCGAAGTGTTACAACAAGTTCTCATAACCTTTTGATACTCGTGAACATTTAACCAAAAATAAACTAATTTCCTCCGATTTAATAATCCAAATTTAGTGAATCCGTGTAAAATTGTATTGAGTGTTTATCTGTTTCATTGAATAAATATATTGCGTTGTTGTTGAATTATACCGTTTAGCGTTTTCTTTTTTTTAATTAATAACGTAATCCAATCGTTTGATTTCTTCAAACGAGGCCAAACATTGAGAACACTCATCTCATAATAATATTTAACAGGAGTGATATTATCAATTAAGAAATATGTACTTGAACAATTCGTTATTTTCTCACCGCAATGAAGTTTAGATGCAACTAAAATATGATTCATCATAATATTTGTTTAAATATTTAGACCTATGAGTCATAGTTGTCGAGTATTTTTTGAGTTTAAACAAAGTTATAATTCAACTCAATTGTTGTAATACCAATTAGTATTATAAACATCAAGGGTTAATGTACTTGTCATTTTTCAAATAAAGTTATAATCATTACATTTTTATTTTTATTTTTGACGGCTCTCATTTGACAGTCATAGGCTATGTTGTTTTTCCCCTTCTACAATCTTTATTCCGTAACTCCCCACTAAGCGGACCATTCCTACACGCTCACAGTGCTCAACGATAAAACAGAGTGGGGGAGAACTCTCCTATCCGAGATTCGGAGAAAATCACCCAAGGACACGTCCTGAACCACTCATCTCTACACTAACTGGATAGTCTGTTCTTTGGGGACCCACCGGACTAGAAATTTGACTCGGCAAACCCTTCGGCCCTGATGCGGCATCCCGAGCCTGACGTTCGGTGCTGGCGTGGTCAACCGAGTCCGGCCCAGATGAGGCGCGTTACGCGAATTTCACGTTCGGGCCGGATCATGGTTGCCGTATGGAAGCCGAGTCGTAGGGGCCAATTAAAATGATTATTAATCGTATTGGTAATTTATCATCAATTATTGCTCTTTCAATCGCCACTCTCAAAATTGCTCCGAAAATTTTTAAATGACACCGGTTCAATAATTTCATATATGTTGTTAATTTTATATATATTGTAAGGGATTTTTGCCGGTGCTACACCAGCAAATATCCCAAACTATTTTGGGCATCTCCTCTATCGCTCAATTAAGTCGGGCGCCAGCTGGATTTTCACGGAAAATCCAACGGTAAACCGGCCTCAGAGGTTAACTCGTCTACCCTGAGGACTTTTCGTGGCGGGGCTAACAATGCCGAGCCAGCATCAGTGTAAAACGGTAGAGTGGGCGAGGTCCACCATACTAGGAGTATTTCACTCGATCGATCCTCGTCTTTTCAGCCGAGAAACTTCGATCAAGCGTATCTTCCAGGAGCCATTCCTCCATGTATTTTTCGCCGAGGATGTTTCCATTCCTTGGACGTATTCCTTTCCTCTCCAGAGTGGCTCAGCTCTGGAGAAGTCGACCATCATTTGCGAATCCTTCTCACTTCTCGGAGCGCCGAACACTGAGAGGCAGGCGACCCAGGTATCCGGAGACTTGTTCTCACCCACCTGTGTCCACCCCAACTCAACCTCAATGTTCGGTAAACGCACTATCACCGCGGGCCAACACCCAGAGTACTCGTCGTGGAGGTACGTGCGATCGGGCCTCCAGGAGTCGGCCTAACTCCTGGCCCACGGATCCACGCCAACACCACTTCTTTCGTCCGAAGTGATGGATCCCTGAGAACATGGAATTAAAACACTCCACGTCCTCAAAGCAATTCGGTCCTTCTGTTTGGGACCCCGAAGCGTCCCATTCTCTCGCTGTTCCGGACCTTGTCCTCACAACGGACCCCCATAATCCAGAATGGACTAATGCCACTTGCAACCGTCGTCGAGGACCAGCCGATTTACATCCGCTCGACTCCAGTGCCTGTCACGGACTGTCTCGAAATTTCCTAGGGCCTTCTCCCCCTAGTCTGAACATCTCAGCGGCGGTGGGTCATCCGTTACCCCACCACCACCAATCAGCTCAACGGCAATCGAGGGGGCGCTAGTCCTCTCACCTAGCCGTTGGTCCCTAGTCTAAGTCGATAGCGCCTCTAGAATCGCCCAGTTGGAACGCCAGTACGTTGGCCCGTTTCCCCCAAACACAGCTGGGCGAGTTTCTAGATAAGGCGACAGGGTATCGACAGCCTCTCTATAATGTTCAGAAGCATGGTTTCACCCAAACCACGCCTCTTGGCATTATTTGATTGGTCTATTCACCTCACGCGCAGTTCTCTTAAACTGCCGTTCGATATCGCTCTAATCTCTCGCTCAGCTTCTTCAGCTGGCGCTAGATGTCACTCTCTCTCTCTCTCTGTCCCTCACTCTAACCATTCTTGACTCATTGGTTTTCGTGTTGGTAAAACAGTTTATCGTAACGAGAAAATCTCGTTACAAAATACACATGGATGATTCGATTATCCGCGATCATTCTTAATAATGTAAAAAAAAGAAAACAATTATATGCTATCAAAATTGATCATCTGTTGTTTATCACTCTTGACTCCCTAACCTATTTATAGCTAAGAAACCGATTTTTTTAACCTAAAATATTCCACCCATGACTGGTTTCGAACCCGGGACCTACAGATTACTAATCCTACGCCTTAGCCAACTAGCCTACCGCGCTATTCGTGCATTTTGAAATTCGTACTGTCTATATAAACCACGCTCGCCTGCACATACATATTTTCATCATGTTTTTCGACATTTAAATAGTTTGATATGATATTACCAATTATAAATTCACCCCCCCCCCTGCCCCTCCTACTTTTGACAGACGTTCGGTAGACATTCGGCAATCGGCTAGGATTTTATCAGTGTCCACTAGTCCTAAGATGGAACATAAGTGATGAAAACACCCTATTCAAGGGTGAAACGATCATAAGGGTCAAGCTGAAGGGTTGAAAAATAGAATCTCGAGGATCAAGTGAGGTCAATGAAGAATATAATGATGAGTATAGACGGATACTGAGGATGGATTAGCAAAAAAAAGTAAGGCAATTATCTTGGTTACATGGGAGGAATGTGCAATCCTAATGGCCGACTGAACCTAAAACAAATTTGAGGGGGGGGGTCTACGATGAGAAGAATATTCTTCCTATTTGTGTAAGTCGGGTTCGGCTGGCCAGATGGGGCATGCCTAACGAAAAACGAGACTCGCACCGAATTCGGCGAAGGCTAGATGGGGTATCTGGGTCTTATGAGAACCACATGAGGTATAGTCCTATTCGGCATGCCTGACAATACAAGAGGCTCGCACCGAATTCGGTGGAGATGCGGTGAAGCCGGATTTGGTATGCCTTATCTGGGCCTTATGAGAGCCAGATGAGGTATACCCTATTCGGCATGCCTGACAATACAAGAGGCTCGCACCGAATTCGGTGGAGATGCGGTGAAGCCGGATTTGGTATGCCTTATCTGGGCCTTATGAGAGCCAGATGAGGTATACCCTATTCGGCATGCCTAACGAAAAACGAGACCTGCCGCCGAATTCGGTACCCCCGGGTACTTAGCCGACAATTACACTAATTAGAAAAACTACCTTATGTAGGTGATTGTACATCGTTAGTACTTGATAGTACATGCGAAAATTTCGTTAGTAGAATCATTAATTAGCTGTAATTAATTTATTAATTTCTCACATGTTACTGGCCGACAAAAAAATTAAAATTGTTCATTTAATGTAAAAAATGACTCTATTTCATTGCAAATCGTTTGCAGATTGCGAATTTCATAATTTGGTCGTTTGTACATGCATTGTTAATTAATTAACTGCATATAACCAATCGTCATTCATCCCCACCAAGCGGTTACCTTCTGGGCGGTCTCTGTATTATCGACGATCACATCTGTCAGATCCTCAGATATATAATTTGCATGTGTCAAGCGGTCCAATTGCCACTATAAACAATTATTGTGTATAATTATTAATTTCCACCTATAAATGGATGAATTCAACATTATTGAACAGCATAAAAATTTAATTGTCAGAGTGAGAACGCCTATGGGTGCAACAAGAAAAATCGAACTCACATTCGTACAATTCATAGGTTATATGTACTGTCAATTGTTAGTTGAACATTAAGATGATTTTCACACTGCAGTGTTTGCGACTAGTCGTCAAATAGTATGATAAGGTCCAAATATATCTGAGGTTTCAAAATAGCTCCTGGAAATTGACTTCACGTGTTTACAAAATGAGTAATCACCATATGGCATGTGGAACTCTGATGTGTCAAAGTCATTCAGATAAGTTGTAGTTGTGAAAATATAGAAATATATTTGATAGCTGAAAAGATTCACAACTGAAACCTCCCCATCACTCCTGGATTAGATCATTAAACGTTCACGTAGGGTTATATTTTTCCCTCATCATTGAATTCTCATTGAACATCGACTGAATGTTTTTTTTTATTGCAGAAAAATACCCACAAGCGTAGAAGCAGAGTCGAAAACAGGAAAAGAAGGATGAAGAGTTTAAATGTGTTCGTGATAGATGATTGAATGTAGCGCTGTAATGAAGCCAAAGAAAATATAGAAAAAGCTTCAGAATAAATACTTGATTTTTAAAATCAATTGTCACCTTCACGAGATTAACCTGAGATATATTTTTCTTCCTTATAAGATAATTTAAAAGACATGAGAATGTAAATTCTAAGCAGAATGAAGATTTCTCTACGAACGAAAAGGTGCTTCTAGTTTCGATTCCACCCAATTAATTGATCAGTTTTGGTAACTATTTGTTCCTTTTAGAAGCGAGTGATTGAGGAAGAAAAAATCAACAAATCACTTTCTAGTCTTCTAGAACAGGCTTCACAGGTCTTTGACCTTCCAACTGAATTTTTATTAATAAATTAAACAAAAATTCACTGTAATTGCTCTCTTCTGAGGAACATGCATACAAAGATTAGGTGAATGTCATCGACTCAGTCATGTATCGATACAAATGACTTTTAATATATTTTCTCCTTCAACAAATAACATCCAGTAATAATGATATTATTACAAATAAAGTTTTGATATAACTATGAACTTTGGTGAGGTAAAAAACTGAGATCTTGATGAGCCTTCAAATCATCGTCTATCCGGAGCCATGACATAAATCGCACACTCCGGTTGAATTTCTGGATTCCCTCGGACAGGTATCACTTTACTAGCAAGTCCATTATGATGTTCCCAGCACGAGGAGATTGATCCGTCGCTTCCAGGACGTCGACAGCAATAGGCTTTATAGTGATCAGTCTTAACGTCATAAGCAATGATACCAGCTAGTCTGAAAAAAGCCATTGTTCCAATAATTCCAATCATCAATTATCAACGAATAAAAAATCCACATGAGTATAAAACAAATCGCATAATACCTATATTCACGATTGAATGTCAGAATTTCAGGAATGTCATAGAGTTTGCATGTTTGAGCAGGATCGGTCGGTGCCACTCGGACATCAAGCTCCAAAAAAATATGAAAGTTAGAAATTTGCTCTTCGCGCCTGGATCCGCCGCAAGAACATCTAATATTCCACAGAGTTTTGTGATATCTTAACGCGTTCTGTAAGTTCTTGAATCCATAGCGTTTGACTAATTGAATGTCAGGGAACCATGTAAACACCTTACGCTGTTTTACCGCTTCACACTTAGGATTCGGGCAATCAATATTCCTTATAATGCTAGGATCCTCAGACATCAACCGCTTCCATGAGAGCAGCGGATTCCCGTGAGCATTAATGATAGGAACCAAGGATGCTTCGTTAGGTTTCGGAGGAAACAGGGGTAGTAATAGTTGTGCTCTCTGGGTATAAATCTCTCTACATGCACCCTTCACCAGGAAATTCATAACAAATTTGGCTAATGAGCTTATCGAGGCTTATAGAAATTCGCGATAGGGTCCATGGTCCAAAGAAGCCGTATAAAGAATTTGAACAAGTGAATCAAAGGCACACGTATTTTGAAGAACGTATGTCCTGGCATCGATCATAACAGAACCACACTTGCTGGAATGTGGTAGTAAATGTGGTTTAACCCTCGTCTTCTTCACCCTAGGATCACAGTAGTGGATTTCCGGACAAGTGCGGAAATATTTCGCCTGGGATTTTTTCATTTGAGGTGATTGTTTCGGTGGTGGTATATCAATGTAATCATGCTCTAGTAAAACATTTCGAAAATCCTCTGTGCTCAGTTGTGAGTTAATTACCTCCCCTTCTGCTGTTGTTGAATTGAAGACAGTTCCTGCGTCGAAGTCACGACTATTCACTTCGACATCAGGAAATTCATCCATTTTAGATGAGCTAAACATGACAAGATGGTCTGCAAGGAGTTCACTGTCAATCCCCAGACTATTATGTGGAATTGTATTCTCCATCGCATCAGAGTCACCAACCACAACTTCCTGACAATATGCACTGATCTCAGATCCATACCCCTTGGACTCACGACGCTTCTCGGCTTTCTCAGTTTCATCAATTCTACCCACTTCACTCTTCTCATGTTTCTCGGTATTTAAGAAGTAATAAGGTGCACCTTTACCTCTCCAATTTTCTCTGCAGAATTGCTCATCGTCATCTGACGTATCGCTCAGAACTATTTTGCCTTTTGATAACTTTTCATCAATCGATTCTTCCTCCGCAGCTGTCTTCCTCCTTTTGGATAAATGATTATTCTGATAATCTTCTGGACTTATTATCCCGCTCTGAACCATAGGCTCATGTATATCCTCTGGGAAATTTCCCTTCTCCTGGTTCATTTTGCTTTTAGGTGGATTATCTGCGGCACAATTATTTCGCTTCAGCGGAAGATCTTTGACTAAGGGACTAGAGATATTCTGATCTTGATTCAGGAAATGTTTCAGATTTGAGTCAAAGTTCAGTTGTTCTGCTAGGAGAGCTTTAGTGTGAACAATGAGAAAATTGTCTGCACGCTGTGGTAATCCGTTATTCTTGAAGACTTTATTCTTCAGAATACTGAAGTGTGCCTCTGCAGAACTGGAACTATGATGACCCATGTAAAAAGGATTCCCAACAGCAGTCCACAGTAAAAATTCTCTCCCAACTCGTCTCAAATCTTTTATCAAATCTGGAAGACAATAGACGTTTAAGTTATTGCCCTCTGTAATGACATTTCGAGCAGAGGCGATTATTTGATCAATGAAACCAGTGAGTTGAGGACTATCATGCTCTTCTTCGATAGTAACGTCAGGACTAAACTCTTCGAGTTTCTGCATGTCTTTGAACTGTGCAAATCCATTTTCATCCAGAGGATGGGTCGCCATGAAATTCTGCAGCTGCAAACGTGCATCTTGGACAGTGGCAGCGAAAGGTGATCGCACTTGACAATCTTCATAGCTTTGAAGAGCTACTAAGCATGTAAGATAAAATAACTTCTTGAAGTCCTCCAACTGTTGACAGTCTACCATCATAGCCAAGGCTCGAATGAAGAAATCTTTCACCGCTGGTAATTGCAAATTTTGAAATATTTTCCATTTTGTTGCGGCGTAAATGAAATGAGCAACGTCAGAAAACATGAAGGTGTCCATAGTTCGAGGAGACAGTGTATTTGTTTTCACTGCAATGAATAATCTCTCCAGATATTGGCTTGTTGTGCAGCCATTGAACGCTATTGACTCAGCGAGGAAGAGGGTTTTGGAAGCATCAGAGATACATCTTTTAGGTTTAATGGCAGCTCGTCGAACAAATGCTCCGAGCATTTGTATCACAGCTTCCCACTCTTGACACTCTGATATCATCTGACAAACAGAAAGAATGGTTTTCGAGAAATTTATCACAATAGAGAATAAGAAGATGTGTCCAGATTTCAGACCTCCGGGTCGATCTATTTTTCGGACGAGACTCCCGGTAGAATCAATGCTGATTACTGCCTTTCCTCGATTAATACGACAGTATTGCTTATAGGAGGCAACCTGAGCATCAGAAGCATAGACAACTGTGAATGGACATGACGAGACATGCGTGATAGTCCCGTAATAAGGTTTTTGCCACTGGAGCTCTTCAATTACATGTATTGGGCTTTTATTTTTCTGTCTCTCCAACTCGTGGTCCACCCGAATAAAGTCCTGCTTACAATGACGGATAACATCCGATGAAGGGACAGTTGGTGCTACAGGTTCCCCCTTCCTCGTTGTTTCCCGGATCATGGCATTTCTTGCATTATAAGAACCTTCCGCTAATGCTCTCCTACCAACTTCCATTCTTTTTTCCCCATTGCATGGACGAGCTACAGGTGCATGCTTCGTACCATATGTGTCTCGAGTCCTAATCAATAATTTCAACTCTCCTGTGATGGAACAGGGCTCATCATCGGCGATTCCCCGAAATCGGTTGCCACAATCCTTGTCTAAGCAATGACCAACGATTGTGAGGTAGTGTTTTCTGTTGGGAGACACACAAACGACTGCCCGTTTCAAAGCAAAAGCACAGGGCAGCCTGAATTCTCGTTGAAACAGATCAGCAATCGTATTTGTCCATACTTTTGGCTTTAAAGTATTTGTAGTTCTACCTCCTTTAGACTTGACAGGCTTAATCTTGTTCCAAATTTTGGATGTCAAGATCAACTCGAACGTGGTTTCATTCTCATCAACTTCAGAGACAGTCTCATCACAAATTATCTCTCCTCTCGAATTATCCCCAATGGTCTCATTAATAGATACATTAGGAGCTTCAAGCGGTACCTCAACGTTTTTATTGACTCGGGCAATACTCAATATTCCACGTCTGTCTTGAGTGACATTAGTATACCGAGAGTGCAGTCCAATTCTTTTGACAACAATTAGCACTCATCAATTTCCAAACTTCGGCATTACTCCTGGGTAAATCATTCGTTAAAAAATAATTTATGTGTTCCTCAACCGCTGCAATTGCCTCATCCTTTGGTACAACACTATTCTGCGGCATATTGCAAAGTGGTCTTGGTACACCTGAAAATTATAACCTGTTAAATATGATAAAATCACCTTCTAGATATAAAGGATGCAATATATTATTACCCAAATATTTATCTTATGGAGAAAAAATTAACAATAAATTATCACCGCACACGACAACAAATACGACAATCACAATGTGAAAAAGAACACAGACCACATGCTGTCTGTTGAATCAACAGTTGTTCTGTCGTTCTGCCTCGACCCCTCGTCCTGTGTCCCGCTCTTTCAGGGTTAAGTTTCCAGAAGTGACGGAAATCACCATCACTAATTACAAAACAATAAATTCTCGAATCATCGTCAAATTTTATTCCTACGATGAAAGATCTACAGTTAATCGTAAATCCAATTTCATAGAAATCCAATACTCGATTCGACTGTTTTTAGTGAAAGCGATGTCAGTATTTTTAATCACTAGGACCGAACATCAAGTGTTTCTAATATATTAATTTCCGTCGTGGTGAAATGAATATTTTGAAAATTCTAAGAACTCAGCTCAAATGTCATCGTTAAATATTCAATTTGAGGTTAGAACTACAATAATTAAGAATAACTAGAATAACTAAGAATCCCAACCCATGTCATTAACCAGCACAAATGGAGAAACAGTATTGAAATTGCATTTGTAGAAGTATATAGTGTTTGGGAAGGGAATGAATGGTGTGTTTGGTGACAACAGGTAAAAGAAATTTTTTTATTTAATAATGAGATTAAACATAAAATGCCCATGCCAATCAAAGGACTCATTACATTGACGAGTCAATGACGAGTAAAAATTCATCCATATAAATTCACTTACATAAGTGCACGTATATGGAGCCTAAATCCATTATCAATGTGTACATTAATAAATAATACCCCCAACCATCATTCATCCAGCTGACCTGCAAAGAATGTTTTAGACAATTTGACTCTGATGGGTCCTTTCGGGATATTTATCGTGAATTGACTCACCTTGAACGATTCAACTTTTTTCTTTCCAACTTTTTTCCAGTCGATTATCAAGATTTTATTTTCGAATGTATTGATACAAGAGAGGTGGTGATGGTCCATAGTCCTTGATATTTTCTTCAGTGCGAGAGTTTGTAAAAGTCTGGCCCTTCGAGATTCGTTATAAATCCTTCGCTCCTCTGTAAAACATCATAATTTCCATCGCGCTGTGTCAGTTACAGTCATAGTAGTTCGGAATGAATATTTGTACCCGGTGTGATTTTTGAAAGTTTAATGCGAAAAAATCGCTTTGGGTACAAATAGTCACTCTCATAGTTAGATAACCGGGAGTTACTCGTATCATTCCATGAGACAGCCCACTGCTTCAAAACTCCTTTCCCCTTTGAATGTACAGCGATTTCCGCAAAGTTCAACGATATGAGGAAGATTGTTACGATTGACACAATCGAAATTGCATAATTATTTCGAAAATGCAAGGGGAAATACTTGACAGTGCTCCAAAATGAATACGGCTTCCAAGAGTACATTTTCACTCCTTTTACCACTCCGTTGATGCGATAAATTCAATAGCGATTATCCCTCGTAATTGCTAGGTGTTTTCACCTACCGCACAAATGTAATTGCGACTGAAGATTACCCGTTCAATAATTTCGATGCTGTAGAATTTATCACTGTTCGAATAACATCAAAAATTGAATTACTCCAGCTAGCATACGTATTATATGATAAAATTTAACGGAGTAAATGTAATCGTCGATAATACAGAGACCGCCCAGAAGGTAACCGCTTGGTGGGGATAAATGACGATTGGTTATATGCAGTTAATTAATTAAGAATGCATGTACAAACAACCAAATTATGAAATTCGCAATCTACAAACGATTTGTAATGAAATAGAGTCATTTTTTATATTAAATGAACAATTTTAATTTTTTTGTCGGCCAGTATCATGTGAGAAATTAATAAATTAATTACAGCTAATTAATGATTCTAATAACGAAATTTTCGCATGTACTATCAAGTGCTAACGATGTACAATCACCTACATAAGGTAGTTTTTCTAATTAGTGCAATTGTCGGCTAACCCACGTACGAAATGCCAGTGTTGGAGAAACGGGCCAAGCCTGGCAC